AACCTTCAGTGAGCTATGGAGGATCCGCAGGCGATGAAGTTTGTCATTTAGCAGGGGGTCATTAACTCGGCGAACAAATGAGCGCTTGTACTCCAGGCGGTTGGCTGATCTGTGGTCAGCTGAGGTGGACAAACTGGTCTGTTCCAAAGCCCGGTACAAATCTCCTAGAGAGTCAGACTGCAGCCTGCAATCCCTCCTGTGGCCTGGTAAGCAGGAGAAGCAATGATGAACAAATTCAATCACATTAAACTCCAGGATGATATTTCTCACTTTTTTGTCCAGCAAGATACAAGTAAACAGCCTGTACACAGAGAATTCTTCTATATCCTCTCCATTTATATATCGAACAAACACAGTTTTGAGATATAAACTTTGGAAAACAACTTTAAATAATTTTAGCAGTGAGTCTCTAAGAACTTTGAACCTCTCTCTACCTACACATTCACACGCACAGACTGTGTGCTATCTGCCCACCATGAAATGGTGGAGAGCCAAAGCTAAAAAGTGGCTGGCGTAAGGACTCCAAAATGTATCAGGTTGACAGCAAGGTCCTAAGTAACAGGAACATTTTTCTAAAATGTTGCCATTGAGTTTTTCAAACTGAACCGTTTCATCTGTGAGCGCCACAAACAAAATTGGCTCCACCTATTTGGTGATGTTTGTGATCTGAAGGCTACAAGCAGAAAATGAGGTGAAGATTTGTCAGTGTGTTGCATCAGGAGGTTGATCACATGTCCAGATCATTTACCTGAATAAAAGTACTAATACCACACTAAAACAAATGTTTTGCATTACAAATGTTACCTTAACTAAGTTATCTATAATCAGGAAAATGTAGTGAAAGTACTAAAAGTAAAAGTTATCAAGGCAGTGACTGTTAAATCATTACTTCACTATTATTAATGCATTAATGTATGAGTAGCCTTTTATAAATGTTTGATATGAAGCTATTTTTCTAACTTTTATTATAAGGGACGGCAACTACTTACTGTTTTCATTATAGGTTAATCCTCTGATTACCTTCTCAAATGGTCATTTGTTTGGTTTGAAAAAAAGAAATACCAAGAAATGCCAAACACAGTTACCAAGAACTAGTGTGACACCTTCACATTAGTCAATTCTTACAATTATTTGGTTTACTATAATTTAAGATATGGAAAATTATCTAATGCTCACATTTGAGAAACTGGAACAGAATGAAATGTTTTTCTTAATTTGATTAATCAGTTATTAAACTTGTTTTAATTTTCTGCTGATTGACTGATTGAGTTACTGCTTAATCTATAACAATGCATCATATCGTAAACTCTTCAAAGGTAACGATAGCTGTCAAATAAATGTAGAAGTAGGCTATAACAAAGTATGATGTTTTCTGGTGACCTGTAAAGGAGAAGAAATATAAAGTAGCAGAAAATGAAGTAGTAAAGTAAAAGCACCTCAGATTTGTACTTAAGTAGTAACTTCAGTAAATGCACTTAGTGATATTTCAACACTGCTTTAGCACTTCTTGCTATGGTGACAGAGATAGGAATTAGTTTTTGTGTGTGCGTGTGTGTGTGTGTGTGTGTGTGTGTGTGTGTGTGTCTTGGTGCCCAAGACAGAAGAGATCTCAAAACCCCCAAACCTAATAAAAACAAGATTCAATATAAACATAATTACCAATAGATAAACATGACATTAAAGGTCCTACCAAGTTGTGCAAGTTCCATTAAAACACTGATGTTATTCATATATACAATGGAGTTAATCCTCTCCTGTTTACTCATATACTGCATTGTCTTGCTCACAGAATCTCAGGATGCAAATTTTTGTTTTTATTAATACATCATTCTGTGTTCTGTCTCCTAATTTATTCAGGGAGAGCAATGAAGAAATAAATCTGGCCTCACCCACGACACTAGAAGCACAGGTCATAACCTGCATCGTCCTAATAAACCACCAGGACCCCTCTTGTCTCCCGTTTACATACACTGCCCTCTGCTGGCATGATACTCACACCACAGTAGAGCCATGACTCTGTTAGACCCTAGTCTGTTTTATGTTTTGGAAGCATGGTGGCCTGTTCTCAAGCTTTGGGGCTGTGCTTTGAAATGTATCATGCTTTATTTGTTTTGTGCTTGTCTCTCCCCTTTACAGGGAGTGGTGGAGAGAATGAATGGGAGAGCAATAGATAAAGGAGAACAAGCAGACAACACCCTTGGGTGTTTTTTAATCCTGTTCTAAATTCAATTTTAGCATGGGCTGAAAAGAATCCTCCTTGCTTCCTCATCTAAATACTGCTGAGAGGCACAATGACATCTTCATAAGGCAAGAGGCAGAGAAATGAGAAAAAGAGGGTGAGTGAGAGTGTGTGTAAGAGAGTGGACTGCCAAGATAAATCAGTATCAAATAAGACACTAAATTTCTTCTCACTTAGATAACTGCCCTGAAGGTCTTCAATGGGCAGGTTTCAGATCTAATCTAATAAAGCAATAATGGTCAGTATTCAACCTTTGATATTCACTGGCTCTGGTTGTGTGTTAGCAGCTTTAATAAAATAACCCGATGACAAACAAGTGCACTTGCTTGACACTATGCAGATGAATAAGATTGATCTACAAATTACAGATAGCAGAAGAGGTCTTTACACCAGGACCACTCAGGATGAGCTCAGTGACATTGCTGAGCATCCCCTCAGCGCTGTCAGATCAGCCAAGGTACCCCTTCGACACCACCACCTGTCATGCTCCAGATGTGTTCATTTGAACTGATTTTAAATTGAGTGCTATTTAACGCTGCTGACTGTAGAGAAGTGGATAATGTTAGGCTTATTTTTCCATACAAGATGCAATGCTCCTGGAACTGGAACACCATTACTATTTCGACTTCTCAGCTCACTTGCAAATTAGCTTTCTTGCAGTCTCAGTTGCAGCATGTGGTGCTATGGTGCTACAAGTGACGCAGGGTGGTGGGAAACAAATCTTATGCAGTCAGGCTGAATTAAATATCAGATTTATTTATTCATCTGACTAAATCATAATTTCTAATTGTTCAGTTTAGCTTATATACTTGAAGTTCTGTCCAAATACCCCATGGCAGGTACAGAAGAATCCCCCGGGGTATATGTATGCACAAATGAATGATTTAGTCAGAGTGTAGTTTTAATTTAAAAAGCTCCATTATTACATATGTGTGTACATAGGATTGCAACTAATTTATAAAACAATTTCTCTGTTGGGTATTTTTTGCAATGAAATGATGTGTTCTCTAATCAGAAAATGGTGAATCACATCACACTTTCCAAAAGCTTTCCTATTTCTAAACTGTATAATGTATAGTTGGTTATCAATACTGACTGCTTGACTGATAGATTTAACATGATGTAATATGCTGTATTCTCAAACTCGGTTATTTATTTAACTGTCTATTGTGGTATGTGTGAGTCGCACCTGTTTCCCTGGCCCGGTCTAGCTGGTATTGCTGGGGCTCCCTCTGATTCGATGCAGATGCACTGGCGGCCAGGATAGCATGGAGCCCACTGTCCCTGGGTAGTGTGAAACTTCGGGGTTTCCCTCCTGCCTCTGAATCGATACTGGCTCTGAGGCGCAAAGGCAGGGCTCTGTACTGCTCTTGCAGCACGCTGCGCTGCACAGGCAAGGTTGACTGCCTGCGGTACTCCATCGCCAGTTGGTCTCTTTCCTCAGAGAGCAGGGATTCTTCCATGGGAAATGTTTGAAGGTAATGCATCCTTGTGTTGCTCTCCATCTGGTCCTGCCAGGAATTTTGGTGGCTGCCTGTTTTCTGTCCAGGGGAGATGCCGTTGATGTTGCTGCTGCCTTCCTGAGGCTCAGAGGGGAACTCGTCATGTGAGGAATGGGACTGGAACGTGTCAGAGGAGGAGAGATGGCCATGTTTGGGTTCCAGGTATGGACTCACCTAAATACAACCAGACAGTTTGCAAGTCAAAGAAGAGATGTCTGCCACACAGGGTGATATCTGCTATATAAGTCAGCAGACTCACTGAGGAGGCTCTGGGATAGGTGTCATAAGGTGGTGGTGGACTGTCCTGTTTAGACATTGAGGTCATCTCCATGTCCTCGTGATCACTTTCACTCCAGTAATCTGTCATGAACAAACAGACTTTGTCACATGTTATTTCTAAAGAACAAACAAAGCCAAGATATTTTAATGCAGCAGGCAGCATTACGTGACTACAGTTCACATAGCAGGAGCTGGCACAAGTCACACTTCATATACAGCCTCTTAAAAGCTCTGCCGAGAGGAGGTTCTAAAAGCTGAAGCTGCAGTGCCAGTGTAGTGTTGCAAACATGCAGATAAGCATGTCTTAGTACTGCTAAAGGTAAGGAAGACCCTGTTAAGTTGTCTGGAGGTGTTATGGGCCTAATTTAGTAACTCATCTCTGAACAAAGCCCCCTCTTTATAAAACCAATGACAAACCTGCCCTCACCTGTCCACCTGTACAAGGTTTTACATAGGCTCCTCTAGAACATGGCTTAGTTATATTACTTCCTGTCCATCTATAAAAAGCAAAAGAACGCCACTATACTAAAATAACAAGCACGCCTTCTGCCCCTAAATTAGATGTCTATGTACATCACAGAGCAGAAATACTTAAATCGGATGTGATGGGGAAGTGAAACCGGGGAGAGGTGTTAAAAAGCATCTAACACTGATCTGAAAATAGGATCTGTTTATTCCATCAGGTCTTGTTTTTTTCCAGGTTACTGCATCAAATCACACATCATCCAAGTTTATAATTTAAACAGTTCAAGTCCATATTTATTCACCTACCCCTCCTAAGAGGAGAAAAAAGACTGAAAGATATTCGACAAATGGAAAGGGACAAAAACGTATTTCCAAACACTTTAAAGCATATATGCAAAACTAATGAAGGAACGTGCTGATTCATAATGAAGTCATCTTTACAGCAGTCATATCAAGAACACATTTTTTTCAGCTGAAGAGAACACTAAGTACACCGAGTTTGATGAATCCTCATTTGCAGGACAGCGTTTTCTGGAGACAATCAGGAATCTGTTTCAGTGAGCAGATTTCTTTTGTCGGTTGGGTGTTAAGATGGAACTAAAGGAATAGATACACTGTAACGGAAATTTACAGCTGTAAACATGCAATAGAAAACTAAAATCTTATTAAATGAACACTAGGCAAAATAATTATCTGTGCATTTTCATTGTGTGTTTATATAAGATACCTGAACCTAAAAGAAACCCACTATGAGCAGTTCTGTACAGCTGGTGACCAGCAACCTATAACAGATGAAGAATCCTTTACAGCACCGTGAACAGACTCTGTGACTAATCTCACCTTGGTCCTGGCGAATATTCTCCTGCTCACGGTATCCTGCCACTGCCATACTGAGACGACTCAGCCACCTGTGGGGGTGGACAACAGTGATGATGCTTCACTTCCAGTAAAACATCCTGTGCTCGTGTGTGTGTGTGTGTATGTGTGTGTGTGTGTGTGTCTCCCACATTGACTGACTAAGAAGGAGAATGGGCAGTTCAGTATGAAGATTCAATTTCTGTCCAGTAGGAATTCAAATGTGGATGCAGATGTGGGACTGGGAGAGTTTGCAGCATGACTATTACAGCCTCAGTATCTCACCGGGACATGTCGTCTACATTTTCCGCTGCAAAGTAGAAGGCCTTTATCTTCGGATGGCAAGCCTTAAAAGCACTGAAAGGGAGCCGAGGATACATTTAATTATATGTAAGCACACCTTAACATATGAAAATGACTGCCAAGTTAAACTGGCTCACAGCTACACATACATTAACTGACAGAAAAACAGTAAGTCCCTACTTAGTTTTGCAAGCTGTATAAACATCTGAATCTGTTTAATTAAACCATAATTATGAAACACAACACCCTGATAATAATTTTCAAAACCCTGAATTTGCTGTAATTTCACTCATTAGAGAATGATAATCCCATGAAACAGCTATTTTCTGCTTTTAAAATTAAGTTTTAAAAGCAGAAAAATTAGGCTTACTTTTTAGCATTTGGTAGTTTATATATTAACATCTTAATCATATTCATTTTGCTCTAAAAAACAAAGCTTTCAGGTCAATAACAGTCCAACTAGGGATGGTAGTTAAACACACAAGCACACATTTTAATTCATATCTCATACAAAATTACAATAAAGAGCTAAATGTATGCATGTCCTGCTGCTATCCTTCTGTCTGTATATATATGAATGCTGCAAGCTAATAGTGACAGTGCATATTGTCTATGAGCCAGGCATCCTCTGTAACTTGGCATTTTACAAGTTATTTAATATAAACGTTAAATTCTTTTCTGCTAGGAGCCAATTTGAACAAGACCTGCACCAATAATACATTTATAGGGTTGTATCTTAATAAGCCCTCTCTGCTGTTAGCTTCGTGAACTATATTCAAACAATGTGCATGTAGTTCTGATTTACTAACTAACTCATTTTGACGCTAAATGAAAAAGCACTGCATCTGTGAAAAGTCCGGTGTTCAGGTTGAAGTCAGTACTCACAACTTTCTTCGGCATTCAGTGGCACGATCAATCTTGAACTCAGGGAGGCTGACAAAGCCCTCTGCCTTCTCATCCTGCGACAAGCAAAAGCAGAGCTAAATCAAAGTGCCACATATTGAATAAACTGATGTGAACTGCTCTTCCATAAAAATCATCACATTCACCTCCTCATTCATGTACCAGTACAGGCAAGTGTCTTTCAGGATAAACCAGTATTTCTTCCACTTCTGCGAAAAATAGGTCTTAGCATCCTTCTTTTTCCAGAGCCAGCCCTCACAGTCCCCTTGACCCAAGTCCCTGCAGGAAATCCGTCGCTTGCTGATTGAAGACATGGGACTTTCAGCTGCAGGCACCAGCAGGGGGACCAGAACAGATGGGGTTGGTCAAAACACACTCCTTGTGAAACACCTGCTCATGTTTTGGTTTGAGCACACACAAGCACTCAAGTAAAACTTTTAAAAAAGCCCTTACCTTTACTCTTCTTCTTTGACCTTGACAGGAGTGAGGATCGCTCAAACACCTTTATAGTAAACACACACACACACACACACACACACAAAAAAAACACATTGACAACATGCAGAAGGATTCAGTGCTGTTACTTCCTCTGACACTTTTTACAGACACAAGGGACTGACATGGTAGAGGGATGCAGAGTCCGAGCTGGATGTGGACAGGGAGACTTCCATTGGGAGGGCAGGGACAAGCGTGTAATGGGTGGGGCTCCCTCCTCGCTCTGTTTTCCTCCTGTTGTGACTCAGGGTGTGTCCCAGCAGGAAGTCCTCCCCTGGGACTTTATCTTCACTGGCAAAACGCAGCAGTGAATTCTCTGTAGTAAGACAACAAAGGGAAACTCAGCACTGCACACATTTTATAAAATTAAACTTCAAAATGTCTGTTATTTGCATATTAAATCCTCTGTATAGTTTTAGGCTGCATCTGTATAAGAAGTTGATCAGCCTGTGTCCTGTATGACCAGTGTGGTGTCTATGATCAGTGGATGCAGACATTTCAAAATAATTGAAGGCAGGGTGGTTGTCAGGCAGTAAGGCCTCAAATCTTCCACATACTGTCTCCTGCAGACAAATACTTTTTTTTTTTGAAAGCCCAAAGGAGCAGCATATCACCACCACCCCCAGAGGAAGCAAACTCACCACTCAAGCCTTTCTTTGAGACAGAAATAAAACAATCCAGTCTCTTCCCACTCCATTTACCACCTAGCTCAACAGTCACCAAAAAAAAATGAGAAAATCTCAGGAAAATATCCTTTGAGTGTTGCTAAAAACAGTGTACTTTATTGTATTCAAACACAGATAAATACTAAAGCTGAAAGAGGGAAACGGGGAGAAGGGGATGATGGGAAAACGGAGCGGTGATAGATTTTGAAGATGCAGTATGGGGGAGACAGAGGCAGGAACTGATATCCAGCATGTTATCAGTTTTGACAGGCCACCTCATCCTGTCACTTTTGGCTTGGAGATCTGAAAGGGTGAGGATATTATGAGATATCCACCCACTCACCTCAGCTCCCTCTGTCCTTCTCTGTCCTCCTTCTTTCTGTGCTTCCCTTTTCTCTTTCTCTCTCTCCCACTGCCTCCCACTCACCTCTCTGACTCTCTCTCTTCAGCTTGGCCAGGTCTTCGTTGTCTCCCACCCAGTTGTATTCCACTGGCATCGAGATGGGCCTGAGCCTGCCTGGAGCACAGGGAATGTCAGTATTACACAGCTGCCTCATACACATCAAACGTCTCAAAAACACACAGACGTCACATTTGCAGGACTGAGAGCTCCTAGCGCTCACCATTACAATGCCGAGTCTTACCAAAGGTGGGAGTGCTCCCCCTGCGGACTGATGACACCTCTTGGCTCTGGTCGTACTCATAACAGTACAGTATGGAATCCTCCTCCACCAGAGGAAATTGCCGCCGACACTCCTGATCCAGGTAGGAGTTCGGTGACTCAGATCCCTCTGCGAGAGGGCTGTCTGTTTGAGGATCATCACTGGGTAGATTTCCCTTGTCATCTCTGTGTTCAGGGCAAGCAGAAAGTCATTTTAATGTCACTGAATATCTGACAAACATGAGAGAAATTAACAAGCAATACTACCATTAGAATACTGTATAGTGTAGGGTGCAAACATCTTCAGCCCTGTTTTTGGTTCAAAGCATCAGACCAGTGTTATTTTCTATATTAGCTTAGTTTTTAGGCATCTCCTTCTTCACTGGCTTTATGGGCCACCAACTGTCAGTCGGTGGAACAGCATGAACCAGGTGGCTGAAATTAGGAATCCTATATCGAGTTGCCCATGTGCTCACTCACATGTTACAAACAAAGCAGGGACCCTCTTCCATAAAAACGATGCTCCATAGTGCTACTAGGGGTCAAAAACTCCACACAGTTCCTTTAATATTTAGTGAAGCAAGTGCTGAGTGAACTTCTGTCTCTTTTACGTGTGAGTGTGCGCTCACCTGGGGGTGTACGGCTCAGCTGGAGGAGGGGGTATGTAGAGGTCCTGCAGAGCACAGCTACTTCTCCTGGATGGAGTGCTTAAAGTGCTGGTGGGCGTGGCAACACTGCTGCTGGGGCTCTGAGGAAAGATGGGCTGTGCATGAGTGGGTGTGCATGTAGGGGTGAGTATGTGTGAAAGAGAGACAGAGCCAGACAGACAGACCGAGAGAAAGAGGGAGAGGAACAGTTACAGGAACTGACACATTGAAAAATTTGGAGTTCAGTCAGTTAGTCAGTCAGGGGCCAATCGTTTGGTTCAGATTGTGAGTGCCGAGCATCTCAACCGTGAAATGAGCAATGTACTGTACATTTCTGACACTCCAGCTCTAAATGGTGCACACAAGGAGACAGGGCGGTGTGTAGTTTAGTCATCCCTCTCATTCAGGTCAAGGGAAATCTGGTCATACTCTACAGAGTCTGCTAAACACAGTACATGGAGAAAGACCACTCCTTGTTTATTTATAATACCTTTATAACAAAATATGAATGCAATATCTTCTTCAAGATAATGCAAAATCATATACTAAACTTGAATAGTCAGAGAGATGAATACAATCACAAGAGGCCTGTTTTGCTGTTTTTTGATTTATCCAAGTACTGTAATACTTGAAAGCTTATTAAATGAGAAAGTTCGTGACTGCTCAGACTGTGTTAATATGCTGCATAACTCAGAACTGAATAATATTGGAGATGTATTATGGGGAGAGATGCTCCATCATATGACTGTTTATGTTCATCAGAGTTACTGCAAGGCTTCGACAGCACATTGTTCTTTTCAGTAAACGTCTTGGCAAAATATTAAAGTTTCTAAGTTCCATTTTCCCCTTTGTGTCCTTAAAAATGCCAGCAGGAGAGCAAAATTCAATTTAGGTGGAGAAGAAAAATATGAGAACGAAAAGGGGGAGCAGGCTAAGCAGGACTGTGCTTCACGGCCTCGAGGGAGAAAACATTTTCTCTGGCCTGGGACACAAAGAAAGACTGGGCTACTTTAGCATACAGTCCTCTCATTCCCACCGCCTCTGGCTCAGGCACACAGTCCTAATAAAGTAATTGGCTTGGCTGAACTAGAACAACAGATGCCATTTATGACTGAAATGTCCTGAATGATACTGGAACCTCCAACTATGAATTTGAATATGTTTTAACAGAAATTGAGCATTATGAATTTTACACAGCTAATGTTTGTTTCAGGGATCTTGGTTTTGATTGCATGCTGTTATAAAATTCCACTTTCTCTTTGTATGCTTCTGTTTATTTTCTGTATTGATCATTTACAGGAGGACCCAGGATTTTGGTGTCTATGTAGTCTTAATTTAAGGAACCCAAGGACAAACATATAAAGTACACCTACAAATAACATACAGTACATGTGCACACTTAAACAGGTGGGCACTGACATGTCAAGCATGAAACCGGTCGCCATACTTGCAAAGCCAAGGGCTTCCATCTCATGTTTTTGAGCAGAGCAGGGGTTGAGGTCAGCGTGCTCTGTGGGCGTTTCTTTAGCGTCAGGGTGACACCTGCAGGGTCCCCACGCAACAGGTTCACCAAGTTCTTCAGCTGCCAGCCCACCTAGTGAACAACAATAGCATTTAACAGTTTTCACATTGACAGCTACTACACTGAAATTCTTCACACAGAAAGTGCGTTACAGAGACAGACGAGGTGAAAGAGAAACTTTTTAATCCAAAGCCTGTTTTATTTGATGATGAAAAGACTGTATTTCTGTGTCAGGCCAAATAAAAAGTGTTCATCTAAAGCAATAAACCTGATTTGTTCAACTACCTGTGCTGTTTTTTTCTGCTTTAATTTGCCATAAAACATGGTGTCACTGGTTTTTTGGTCTTGAGTCAGTTCACTAAGTAGATTGTGGTAACACTCTCCAGGGTTAAAATGTACAGTGCCTTGCGAAAGTATTCGGCCCCCTTGAACTTTGTGACCTTTTGCCACATTTCAGGCTTCAAACATAAAGATATAAAACTGTAATTTTTTGTGAAGAATCAACAACAAGTGGGACACAATCATGAAGTGGAACGAAATTTATTGGATATTTCAAACGTTTTTAACAAATAAAAAACTGAAACATTGGGCGTGCAAAATTATTCAGCCCCTTTACTTTCAGTGCAGCAAACTCTCTCCAGA